GTACAGCCATCGGCCATCGTAAGTGATTGTGAGGGAGGTCTTTTTGCCCCTATAGCGGAGCTGTTTCCGGAGTCGAGCCATTTACTGTGCACATGGCACATCAACAACTGCGTGAAAGTCAAAGCCTACAACCTTTTCAACAAGAACTTAGATTCAGCAGAGAGATTGGTAAATGGTAAGTGGCGGAAGATCCTGCAAGCTACCACGGAGGCAGAGTACGATCGAGCCTTGGAAAACTTAAAGGATGCGTACAAGTGGTGCCCGCCAATCGTAGACTATGTGATGCATCAGTGGGTACCTCAGAGGGAAAAGTTTGTCAAATATTGCACGAACCAAGTTCTTCATTTTGGGAACACTACGACATGCAGAGTCGAGAGCGCTCATAGAGCTTTGAAGGACTGGATTGATTCTTCCACGGCTGCTCTGGATACACTGTTCGAGAGAATAAACAAGGCTATTGATACTCAGAGGAACGGCATCAAGAACTATCTCGAGGACTCCAGACGACGACATGGCATGTTGTATGGCCATTTCATATTTAAGATTCTCCACGGTCGTGTGTCACACCACTGTTTGGGGTTGATTCTGAGCGAGTATACCAGGATGAGGGAGTTGGGCGATGAAGTGGCTATTCGGTGCGGATGTGCTATATCAATGACTCATGGATTACCTTGTGCATGCACCATTCACCGCGTAATTACGCAAGACAGGGCGTCGTTACATGTCGATCAGGTTCATCCATTCTGGCGGACGCTCGTTATCGGAGAGCATGCTGTTCCGCATACGGTTCACCGTGAACAGGAGGAGTTGGAGCAGTTTCAGATGATGTTTGACCAAGTGTCCTCCAGTCACCCTTCGATCATTCGTAGTGCTACACACATACTTCATGACATGTTCAATACATCGTGTTTGGATACCGAGGAACCGGAAGGGGTCGAGCGACCTAGGGGTCGACAACCACGGCGGAACAAGAGTGCGTTTGAGTACATTCGCGGTCGTGGCCGTGGCCGTGGCCGTGGTCGTACATCCTCATCAAGTGGCAGCCAATCATCGTCGTCGGTGAATATGCCCGGCACCGGTAAGACATTCGACTTGCCTTTCTTTTGTTGACTGTTTGATTAGTTTACTGTTGACTTGTTTATTGTGTTTATTGATGTGTGTAACAGGGAGAATGGACATTGAACATTTTCCATATAAGGACAGGATCCCTAATATCATGATGCCATTCTTGGACGGGTGGAATGATGTCATTGCAGATGGTAACTGCGGATTTCGGGTTGTGGCGGATGTGTTTCAAATGGGTGAAGACAACTACGGTTTAGTGCGGCAGTTGATGTACAGTGAAATCGCATCAAACCGAGATGTGTATGGCCATGTGTACGGCGAGGACTTGGATAGGTCTCTGCAGCGTATCCGGTGGGGAGGGGGACCTTGCGGTCAAAATCATTGGTTCGATGCGCCACTTGATCTCTTTGCCGTTGCAAACATCTACAAGTGTGCAGTCATGCATTTCGGCCTTGGTTTACATAGTCGAGCCTATTATCCATGTACAACGGTTCTGCCCTGGTGTTCGCGCGAGACCGTCACCAGACCGGTAAGGGACGTTGTTATTGGATTTCTTGGGCCGTCATACAGACATTTTATCCGATTAGACATGTCACCCGATTTTCCGGTCCCAAATATCATACCGAAGTGGTATGAAATTCGTAGAGCAAGCGTGGAGGGTTGGGATGCTTTGTACCATGCTCGCGTGCAACAGTGGAACAATTTAATTGCCATGTAGTTTTTGTTGATGTACACCTACCTTTTACTATGAGGCCTTGTATTGTCAATACTATGTCATTTCTATGTGTTCATTTTTAAAAGATAATGTTTCATTTTAAAAACTAACAACAATAATTTCAAATATTACAAAATAAAATGATAATATTGAATTTTAAAAACTAAGAACAATAATGTCAAATATTACAAACTAAAAAGATAATGTCTAATTTCAAATATCAGTAATCCCTCTGTGACGCCCACTGCCACTGCTCAAGGGTCCGTTCCAGATCGTCAATAACAGCTCTACCTGATGCACTCGTCATGCAGTCCCTTTCCTCAAAAAGTCGGTGTCCCAACTGCATAATCTTGCCCATCCACTACACAAAACAAAAAACATGAAACGACGTATTATACATATATATATTAAAATAAGAGAACAACAAATAAAAGATGAGACGTACCGCATAAGAGGCAGTGGCAGGTGGCACATCGTCATCATCTGCGTCGTCGATGTCTTTGATCAACCTCGGGTGCGAGTGCCGGATGTACCATTCCATGTAGTGCTGGTCACACATGGCAGTCACCCCACTTGGCGGCCGCTGCAGCTCCGCCGTCCATAGGCGGGCAACCATCGGAAACTGCTCCCACATGGATATCATGTTTGACGGCCATTGGACGACGTACTCCTTCGACGACGCAGATCGTACCGCCTTACTGGGCCATGCCGGTGGAGGTGGGACAACTTGGACAAATCCAAGCTGGCGAAGACAGCGCTGCGGCATGTACGCCTCTACGATCTCGCGATACTGAATCAGTCCAGTGTAGAGGGTCCTGGGTACCCTATTACTAGGGTTCTGGCCGAAAGGCATCCAGTTCACCTGCACATTATTTAAAATCAGTAACAATCATAAAATAAAGCATCAGATTATAAAAGTAGAAATAATTTAATCACTGTACCTCTAAGGGGGACATCCTGTCAAGCGATAACCGTATGGAGCGCAGGCGGTCAACGGACTTCTTCTCGACACGCGGACTCCACGCACAGGCACGTGGCTGGCCATCACCAATGGGAACCGGGTCGCGGTGTGGTCGAAACGCAGGAAAATACTCGTATATCCAGGTCTGTAACAACGTCAGACATCCAGTGATACCTGCTGCATCAGCCCGGCTCGAGAATCCTAACTGGCGATACAGATACGCCAGCGTAGCCGACCCCCAAGAAAACTGGCCTACTCTGTCGGGCTCACACGCGTCAACTATGTCGCGTGGCCTGAGCTTGTTCCCGCTCTTATCCGGAAACAAGGTACACCCGAAAAGAAGAAAAACATATGCAGCCAGCTGTGTGTCCTGCGTCCTACGTGCCGTAGGGTGCAAACATCGCTGCAAGACGGCTGCGATCTTAACGCCGCCGTGATCCCACACACCAAGTGCCGATGTGTACAGCGCAGCCCTATCCACCGCCAACAGCTCCGCTAGTAAATCTGCCTGATCCGCATCAGTGACGACAGATGCTCGGTTTCCCTCCACGGGAATCCCAAGGATGGCCTCGACGTCATGCAACATGATCGTCATCTCACCGAACGGAAGGTGGAACGAGTTCGTATCCGGCTGCCATCGCTCAACGAAAGCCGTGATCAGCGTCCAGTCAATCCTATCGTGCATGGTGGCAGGAAGGTGACTCACTCTAGTGGCCCTCAATCGCCCGACCATCTCGCTCTCCTCCGGCCAAGCATCAGCCCAGCTACACAAAAACCTACAAGTCTTTTCCCGGGTTTGGCATTTCAAAATGCCTGTATCCAAAGCCCTCTCCTGGTCCTCCCAAATACGGGTAGCGATGTGTCCTAAAAAGCTAGGAATCACACTCCCGTCTATAGGTCCCCCGGCCACCTCACCCCTCACCATCCAAGAATCATTAACGGCCCTCGACCGTTTTCTGCTACCCGCAGACACAGTGGACGCAGATGATGTGCCAGATCTACTAACAAACCTACCATCTCGACCCTTACGCACATCTACCCTATGCGTCTCATACGTATCATCAAGTCTCTGACTGAATGGACCGTAATCATCATATGGTCCACTCTGATCGTCGACATCCTCATCTGCATCATCCTCGTCCTCGACCTCCTCCTCCTCGACCTCCTCCTCCTCCTCCTCATCATCATCTTGATCGTCCGCAGAACAGTGCACCCGTTCTCTGCGGGCCGAGGCCGAAATACCACGGGATCTAACGTGTCTGGGCCCCGAGCTCTCCATTGAGTAGATCGTACTCCTCACGACGTCAATACTCTTCCCCGCACCAGGTCTAAATTGCGATGCCTAACTCCAAGTAAATAACGAAACATAATAACGAAAACAAATTAAAAAAAGTCGAAAATAAACACAAAAGCAAATAAACAAGTCACGGAAATAAAATTATAAACATAAAAAATATAAAATTAAAACAAATAAAAAAACAAAATTTAAAAAAAAAAAGATAAAAAAAAAGGGAACATACAATTTAAAAAAAAGAAAAACAAATTTTTTAAAAAAAAAAAAAAATCGAAAATAAAATTTAAAATTAAAAAAAAAAACAAAAAAAAAATTTAAAAAAAAAACCACGGCGGAGGCGCCTAGGCAAGGCGCCCATACGGTGGTGGCGGCGCCAAGCCCAGACGCCACTACCACGGCGGCGGCGCAGAGGCTAGGCGCCACAGCCGTGGTAGTGGCGTCTGGGCTTGGCGCCGCCACCACCGTATGGGCGCCTTGCCTAGGCGCCTCCGCCGTGGTGTTGGCGTCTCCCCTTGGCGCCCCACCGTCGCCGGAGGTTTTTTTTTTTAAAAAAAAATTACAAAAATTAAAAAATTTACCTTCTGGCCGGCAAACCGCCTTCCGCCCACCGCCGGTGCCGCCACTTCCTTGCCGGGCCGCCTCGACATAGCTCTGGAAATAATTTAGAGAGAGAAAGTGGAAGTAGAGAGTAGAGAGAGAAATTGTGTGTTTTTTAGTATGAGGGCAAAAGTGTCATTTCACTCTTATTTTGTGGGCTTTATGTAGGAATTTGCGGGCGATGTTTAACAGTTCACTATTCATAAATGGGCCACAAAATTATTGATAGTTGCCCATTAATATGACTGGCGCGACAAAATAACTTAACCCATTGCCCAAACCAATTAAATTGGGCTGAAAAGGATGTTTAATGCCGTTGCCCATCAATTAAAATTGGGTGGAAATAAAACCCGTTTAATAAAAATCCCAAATATGCCAAAACTTCAAATATTAAACTCCGTACATCATCAGTTTCATTAGTTCAGTTCTTCCCTTTCCTCTGTCCCCTATTTGTACCAGAGCTTGCGAAAGCCATTGAAGAGCTATAGTTTTTGCGTGTTTTTGGCCAATTGTGTTTCTTTATACAATATCTAAATCCAAGTTTTTCCTTTCTCAATATTACTTTCTAGTTTGTAATTTTGTCAAACCCTAATTTGTTTGTTAATTTCATTGGTGGTCCGGCGGTGGTTAAGGGAGGCGATAACAACGGCTTCAACGCATCCTCTTAACGGGTCAGCTATATAGTGGTTAATATCAATCGAATTTTGTTTTCTGTAAAAAAAAAAAGATTTTGATGCAAAATAATTGTTCTTTATTTTCTATATTAATCGAGCGACATTCGAGTTTTGTTTCAATAATGAAATGCAAAATTTGTTCTTGAAAATATTCTATGCTTCTAATTTTTCAAATTTAGATCAACAACGCTATTAGTTTTGGTTAATTTCCCTGATTTTGTTTGGCGTGATGTAAGAAGCTTATATGGCAGATTTGGCCCAAGAAATTGTAAGGATTCTTATTTGGGTAAGATTAACTCAGAATCTGATTGAATTATAATTGCTCGTGTAATATCAATTATTAGAGAGCATATTAGAGGATATTAGCTCGCTTAATATTCAGTGAGAATTATATTGTATTTAGGATGTTGAAGGACAATGATATTATTTTAATTAATTTGATAAGTGGTTTTCTATCGGGTCTAATTTTTTATAATTTCAGTTATTGTTAGTTTGTTATAGATTTACAATATAGAACTTAACATTCTAATTATTACATGAGTAAATTGAGTACATATAGAGAGATTCAATTATAAGAGAACATGTCTTATTTTAAAATATCGCAAACTAGAATCTTTGTTTGAACTACCCATGTAATATGAGTGAGCAGAAACAATAGAGTATGATAAATATTGACTTTCATTCTGATTAACTCATGTGCAAATAAGAACGTGACTATAATGAACCACGAACTAATTAATTTTTTTGCTTAATTGTAAAGATCCTTCTATTACCCCTTTTGTTCAGGAGCTTAGGAGCTTCAAAGAAGATCTGAACATTAGTGTTTCTTGATCAAGCTACCAATATTCAGGTTGGTGTTTTTTTATTTGATTGCTTTTGATTGTATTATACTTCTATATATATATATATATATATATATATATATATATATATATATAGATAGATAGATAGATAGATAGATATCTATATGGGTTGAATTTTGAGTATGTTTCTTTGATGAGTACTAGCTTAAGTATTATCAATTTTGTGCATCTATATGATTTGAATAGTACCTGAACTTATTGCTTTAAGAGATATGTTTTGATGAAATTTATCCAGTAGTATGCCTTGGCCAAATTAATATAAGAAAAATGATATAATAAAGAAGCATCTTTGCGTATGATATCTGTAATTGTGTATACACATTTTGACTTAATTGGTGTGCTTAATATATGGATTAATAATTAGTTTATGTGGATGGATAGTTCTTATTAATTGGTGTGCTTAGGATATGGATTAATAATTAGTTTGTGTGGATGGATAGTTCTTATTATTAACTTGTAAATGACTAATTTTTTTTTTATTTGTTTTTATAATTTATTATTAAAATTTTGACTACAAAAAGCTATCAGTATGTAAAATAGTAGGCCTAAAAGAAAATATAAAGAAGAATGGTACTTTGTATCTTAGGTTTTTAGGATAACACAAAAATCCTAAGCATTAGCTATACTTTGATATTTTTTTCGGAAGTGGAGGTGATTAACTTGGCATAATTTGATTGTTTTTAACCTTTAAACTTTTTCTTGATTTTATAACTAACTATTTTTTTACTATTATGTTGTTACGGACTATCTTTTATTTTAAATTTCAAGAATGAATAGAGATCGAACTTGGATGAACCACAATGGTATAAAGGATAGACGAAAACCAGAGTATAACGAAAGAGTCGACGAGTTTTTAAAGTTTGCGTATAGGGAAAAAATGATGACACCTTGTTGAAATGTCCTTGTTTAAACTGTAGATTGAGTTTGGCCCATGATCGAAAAACTATGCAATGCCACTTACTAGTATATGGTATAGATAGTAGTTATAACCCATGGGTGAGTCACGGAGAAAGTGGTGGGCTAGATGTTAATAATGAAGATGATAAACACGATGGAGGCCTCAGATAATGATGATGATGATGATGATATACCATTTGATGACATGGCTCCATTGGTTTTTGATGCCACAAATGCATGGAATAATAGCACAACTTATGAGGTTCATAGTGACGGTGGTAACGCCATGGAGTTTGGTTCTAGTAGTGGCAATGATGAAACTCCTAGTAAGGAGTTAATGACATTACTCGAAGACATGGAGGCCGAATTATATCCAGGGTGCAAGACATTTAAGAGATTAGAGTTTCTTATCACATTACTACACATTAAATTTAGCAACAAGTGGAGTGATAAGTCTTTTTCAATGTTATTGAATACATTACATAGGGCATTTAATCATGATAAAAATTTTCCATCTAATTCTTATGAATAAAAAAAATATACAAAAGCATTAGGATTGGATTATGTAAAGATTAATGCATGTGTTAACCATTGCATTTTGTATCGCAAGAAGTTTGCAAATGAAGAAAAATTTCCTAAATGCTTGACTCCTAGATGGAAGGAAAAAGGTGTGCAAGGTGGTGATGTGTCTTATGGTGACGAAGACGAGGGTATTGTTGTAAAGAAAACTCGAATTCCTCAATTAGTTTTACGTCATTTTCCTCTCATTCCAAGGTTGCAAAGCATGTTTGTCTCCTCGAAGTTAGCAAAGGACATACGATGGCATAAGGATGAATGCTCAAAAGATGAGGTAATGAGACACCCAGCTGATTCGGAAGCATGGAAGTCCTTGGATAAAATATATCCAGACTTTGCTGCTGATGCTCGTAACATACACTTGGGTTTGGCAAGTGATGGCTTTAATCCCGGTGCTAACATGAGTAGCATATATAGCATTTGGCCAGTGATGTTAGTTCCATATAACTTACCTCCTTGGATGTGCATGAAAAGTGATAACATGATATTATCTTTGCTAATTCCCGGTCCCAAATCTCTGGGAAATGATATAGATGTTTTTTTTGCAACCTCTAATTGATGAACTAAAGGAATTGTGGGAGACAGGGGTAAAAACTTTTGATGCTCATGCCAAAGAGACATTTAATATGCGAGTAGTGTTGTTGTGGACTATTAGTGACTTTCCAGCTTATGCTAATCTCTCTGGTTTGAGTACTACAGGAGAACGTGCATTCCCTAATTGTCGTAAAGATACAAGATTAGGTTGGTTAAAACATGGGCGCAGATATTGTTATATGGATAACAGAGTGTTTTTAGAGCAAGATCACAAATGGAGACGTAATAGGAATTTGTTTGGTGGAAAAGTTGAACGGGGTCCTCCTCCTACTCCACTTACTTGACATGATGTTTTAGAGCAATTGAGTGGCTATTCAAATGTGGAATTTAGAAAAGGTGTTACCAGAAAACGAAAAAGAGGCAAACAATACATTGTGCATCAATGGAAAAAAATAAGTGTTTTCTTTCAATTGCCATATTGGAGACATCTTTTAGTGCGACACAACTTAGATGTTATGCATATAGAAAAAAATGTTTGTCAAAGTATATTTCGCACACTACTTTATTTATCAGGGAAGAATAAAGACACCTTAAAGGCGCGATTGGACTTAGATGATATGAAGATGCATAGTCAATTACGTGCCAAGCTTTTAGGAGATAAAAAATATAAAATCCCTCCAGCAACATACAACCTAACTTTGAATGAACGAAGAAAAATAGTCACCTTTTTGTCTAACTTAGCTTTTCCTGATGCATATGATTCAAATATATCGAGGTGTACATCTTTACAAGATGGAAAGATCATGGGAATGAAAACTCATGACTTCCATGTTTTCATGCAAGATTTGCTTACCCCTGCCTTTAAGGGTGTCATAGATGAGAAAGTGTTGGTGCCTTTAAGGGAGCTCAGTTTATTTTTCAAGAAATTATGCTCAAAAACTCTGAAGGTTTCCGACTTAGAGCGAATGGAATCAAATATCGCAATCACCTTGTGCAAGTTAGAACGCATATTCGTTCCTGCATTTTTTGATGTGATGATACATCTTCCAATTCACTTGGCCACTGAGGCTAGGATTGCCGGCCCAGTACATTATCGATGGATGTATCGTTTTGAAAGGTAAGGTTTTAATTTATATAAAAAAAGAGGTTTTATATATAAATAAATACTTATAGATTATAACTAACGTTTTTTTGAAAAAGGGCGATGAGGACATTTAAATCATATGTACGGAACAAAGCTCACCCTGAAGCTTCAATTGCTAATGGGTACATAGAAATGGAATGTCTAACATTTTTCTCAAGATATATTTCTAAGATTGAGATGCAATTTAACCTTCTAGATCAAAATGACGACATCGATCATCAACAACTCCATACCCTGTCCGTTTTTTCTAAAATGGGCAAGTATTTAGGGAAGATAAATATAAAGCAGCCGGCTTTTGATGAATGGAAAGAAGCTCACCTTTATGTTCTAAAAAATTGGGACGAAGCACAACCTTTCTTAGAATAAGTGTTATGATGTGATTGATTTAAATTTTTTTTATTAAAAATGTATACAATTAACTAACTATTAGTTCCTTAATTTCTTTGGTTAGTGAGTATCTAAATTATACGAGTCTTCCAAAGATTGACTTTTAAAAGTGGTTTGAGAATAGGGTAAGTGAGCAAACCCTTTTTTTTCCTATTATATATATATTTTTTTTCTTGATTGGTTTCTTTATTACTTATTATGAAATACAGATTATTAAGCTGTGGAAAGATGGGGATGTACCGAAGAGTTATTTTGTTTAGCAAGAGGACCAATGAAACGTGTTGTGACTTATGATGGATATATCATTAATGGATTTAGATTTCACACCAAAAAACGGCAAAGAAATCGAAAAACTCAAAATAGTGGTGTGGTGGTTAGAGGCGATGAGGAAAGTGGAGAAAAGAATTTTTATGGGATTTTAGAGGAGTTTATTGTGTTAGAGTATGGTACCTTAAAAAATCGAACAAGTCCCAAAGTTGTTTTGTTTAAGTGTAAGTGGTTTGACGTGTTTAGTGACAGGAAAGGGATTAAAAAACAAAATTTAGAAGTAGTGCTTATCAATGTTACTCGGAGGTTAAGAACCAATGAGTCATTCGCTTTAGTTTCTCGAATTGAACAAGTTTTCTGTGTGACTGCTCATAATGAAACAGATTGGAGATATGTAATTAAGGCAAATCCACGAAACTTCTTTGATTTCCCTAATGATGAAGATACTCATGAAAGCGAATCATTATGGGATCATGTGGCTCCACCGGTCACTAACTATGAAAATGAAAATGATGAAGACATTAATATAGTTAGGGATGATGTTGAAAATGAAGTGGTGTACGCTAATATCAACCAAAGAGATGATATCATTAATGAGGATGAAGAGGAACAGGAGGAAGAAGAAGAAGAAGAAGAAGAAGAAGAGGAGGAGGAAGAACTGTCTAATACGGAATCTACATTGCAGGCTCTTGACGATGACCTTGAAGACAATGATGATGACAGTGATAGTTCTAGTGAATAACGTACTTAGCATTTGAAAGAGTCATTTATTTATATATTTGAAACTAGTTAAATAATTAAATATGCTCAGATGCTTTATAAAAGCTTTTGCTTTAGTTATAATGTCTATAACCTCTTGGTTTAACTAATTTTCTGTTTTTGTTTATGTATTTGTGTAGAGTAAGTAGTAGCTAACTGTAACTTTTCTAATTGTTGCTTTTATAATTTAAATTATGTTTTAGTTCACTTATGCTAATGGATGATAAAAGATTTAAGCAATGAGGTTGGTGATTCTAAATAGTATGTATATTGAATTCGATATAGGTGAAGAAGTAGCTAATTAAGGAGTTTGTTTTAGTTAACTAACTGGTTGGTTTTTGCAAGGTATAAAGGGGCTGGTACTCTGATCAACAGTAGGTAATATGTGTTTTCTCCTCAATTCTAGCTTAACATGTGGGAATTAAAATGCTCTTTCAGTGAGTTAACATGAATATTGCTTGTTTATTGGCCAAATTTTGTATTTTTGCAAGGCAGTATTCATTAACTCACATAATAGTATGCATATAGACAAGTATAAACCATGTTTCCTAACAACTTTTTTCATTATTTGTGCTTGTTATCTTTGAGGAAATGATCTCTACAATGTTACCAGTTAGTTTCATGCTCATAAGTCACTTCTTTTGAACTACATTTTATGTTGCTCTGAATGTAGAACCATCTCATTTAATGTTGCTCTTAATTTATTTAATTATTGATTTTTTTATAGGAAAATGTCAATCATTCCAACTTCATCAGAACAAGATCAACAAGAAAATGAGATTCAACAACCACCACCAAGGTTGACTTATCGTGAAAAGCGAAGGATTGACCAAGCTGAGCTTCGACAAAAATTCCCTGATCGTAAGAGGCGTGGCCCTACTAGGGGTTTAAAATATGCTTCCAAAAGAGCAAGAAATCCAGAAGAAAAGATTACGTTAACTTTTATGGATGAGCTTTGACGTGTGGTTGGTGAAAAGGCAAATGAGTTCATATGTGATTGTAGCAATTGGGTGGAAGAGTTTTGTCCTTTGAATGCATTGTATGCCTATTACACTTGATAAAATTACCTGTTATCATTTCCATTGCTTAATGTGTATGTGGATGATTATGATTTTAATATTTTCTTTTTGTCACAGGAATTGGGCTAAAATGGATCCTGATGCGAAGAAAAGTTTATATGACAAGATTTTGGTGAGTCAAAGTATATATAACATAATTATAAAAGTTATATATAGTTAGATAAGTTAGCTTTTTTTTAAAGCAAGTCGGGAATATTATTAATCAAACCAAATCAACATTCGCCAAGGCTAATATTCCTTGGGGAAAAGAGTCAAGAAAAACAAACTCCGACCCACTAGGGGGAGGGATCCTAGCAGCATAATGTGCAACAACATTACCTTCTGTTGTTCTGCCAACCTTCTGTTGTTTAACAGCAGTAATAACAGCACTTGCATCCCCTTCCAACTCGACTTTAGTAAGGGATAGACACTTAGCTAATAGCAGCCCCATCCTAGCAGCAAGGGCCTCGACCAGCTTGACAGAAAAATCACCTTGATATATCTTCACTGCAATAGCAATCAAACACCCCCTATCATCACGTATAACAGCACCAAGGCCCACCCCATACCCTGTAATTATAGCTGCATCAGTGTTTACCTTCAAGCAACCTTTAGGTGGGCGAAGCCAGCTGCTTCGGGAAGTCAGTGCCCCTGCCTGACCACACCCCACATCCTTGTTGTACTTCCTGTATATTAGCTTAATAATGATATATTCTGTCAGATTTATTTTTATTAATAATGATATGTTCTGTTAGATTAATTTTTATTTTTAACTAGATGATTTACTAGGCAAAATTCAATTTACGTGAAAAGATTGGTGGTGCGGACGCGACTGATGCATTGAGCTTTCAATAGTATATATTATATAGGCATTGGAGGTTTAGACTCAAAGAAAAATACTATAGAGGCAAAATAAAGGCAGAGGCTAGAGACAATAGACAATAGACCTTCAACTATTGATCCGATAAAGTGGGATTGGTTTGTTTATGAGTATTGGAGTTCCCCAAAACAAGAGGTAATGTGCTTCCTTTGTTTAATTTATTGCTAATCTGCTAAATAGTTTTTCAATTATACTACATTAACTTGCCGGCTCAAATTGTAGGCCATTAGCAAAGTGAACACAACAAATAAACTGAAGTTAACTGAAACACCAGCTAATGGTGCAAAGTCCACATCAAGAATTTTCTATGATATGGTGTGTAGTTTTGGCCTTTTACTGCGAAAAGTATAAGTTAGACATTATTTATTGTAAATTCTATGATATGGTGTGTTTTTTTTCATACGTAGATTAACGAGCCACCAATTGTTGCCAATCAAGTCGAAGGGTCATCTGAACATGCTGAAGTGCAACAAGATCCCATCTATGTGAGATTATATGAGAAGACAAGGAAATTGCCCAGGAATATTATTGTTGTTCTGTCTTTCATGTTACTATTTAAATAGTTATGCCTACATTAGCCTTATCTCATACTTAATATGCATAATTTTTTGAACTGATTTCATTGAATAGGCATATAAAAAAGGATGGAAGTACTATGTGGGAACCAAATGCTGAAAAGAACTATGAAGAACTCAAAAGGCTTCACGAAACTGAAATCGCAGAACATGGTGAGGACACACTGAGTGTAAAAGATGCTTATATGCAGGTATTAAAACCTAAATCTGGATATGTGAGAGGACTTTGTCCTGGAGCTTGACCACCTAAAAAGTTAGAATCCAAGGAGATGATATGGATAGGGTTCAACTCTCTACTCAAGTTCACACACTAAATGCGTCAAATGAAGACCTTAGAGCATCTAATGAACAACTTAAAGCATCAAATGAGGAGCTCAAAGCAGAATTTTCAAGAATCAACAAGGAAGCCATTGAACGTGAAAATAAACTAAGAGAAGATATGCTAAAAATGTTTGAGGAAATGAGGTATGCAATTTTTTCACAAATGATTTAATTTATTTAGGCCAATGAGTTATAAAGTAAGATTATAATGTATTGTGATCAAATTTGGGTTGCATTGTCTTCCGTATAGGAGACTTAACTGTTTCTCGTTTATATGTACTGTGATCAAATTTGGGTTGTTGCCGCAACGCTGCTCGATGTTGCTGCAATGCTTCTGCAACGATGTGGGGCTTCCGCAACACAACTGTTTGTGGTGCTGCCGCAATGCAGCAGTTGCTGCTGTGGTGCTGCCGCAACGCTGCTGTTGCAGCTGCAGTGCTGCCGGAACGCTGCTGTAGGTGCTGCACTGCTGCCGCAACGCTGCTGTTGCTGCTGCACTGCTGCCGCAACGCTGCTGTTGCTGCTGCACTGCTGCCCCAACTCTGCTGTTGCTGCTGCACTGCTGCCACAACTCTGCTGTTGTAGTTTTAGGAGCTTTTTCCACGTGCAGCAGTGTATTCACTAAGCTTGATATGTGTATATCTGATATGTAGATGATTTACATTGCAAGTGTAGGAAGCATACATTATTATTAATGTCAAATTTGTCTAATTGACAAAGAACAAACATGCATTACATTTCAAACCATTTAGCGTTCATTAGAAAAAAATGCTAATTATGACTTGATACATGGAGAGGTGATTGCCCCTAAATTTGACAAATTTCACAATTGTGAGTTTATATTATTTCAAAATGCATTTATCAAGATTTTTGTACAGATATGTAAAAATATGACCTCCCTTTTATGTGGTGAAAGAAGCAATATTTTGTAGCTTTAATTCTATTTTATTGTATCGTTTTAAATCATGTGTATCTAATTTTGGAATATTGTTTTACAAGAACATATGATCGTGATATTTTCCTGACAAGCCAAGGAATATGATGTATATTTTGAATATATTTTCTCTTATTACAGGTAGTAATTTCTAGGGATTGATAAATTTAGCTTAGTGCGATCATAGTACTTGTTTCTTAGTAGAAAAATTTAAATTTAGTTGTAATTTTGATTACCTTCGGATCATCAGTTGAACTTGGAGAAAGTCGTAGTACTTTTTGATGATCATTCAGTTTTTACTAACTATGAAATGCAATTGTATTGAAATTGTGAGCTATTATGTACTATTGTCCAATGAATACTATATTGATATATATTATATGAAAGAGTACAGGAGAAAGGTAAAAAATTAGTAAGACAACAACAATAAAGTCATTGCCCAATATTGTAATTGGGAAAAACATAGTCACACATAACTTGTTTCCCATGCAATGATTTGGGCAACAACATAATCAAACATAAATCGTTGCCCATTAAAAGATTTAGGATAAAATCCAACGAATATTCTGATTTAAAATTGGCGCTGTATTTTTAAATTGGGCAACAGATGTAATAAGTCGTTGCACAAATTAGTTTGGGCAACGACATAATTGTTTCCCATATCTATGTATGCCATGTCACAATTTATCGTTTGGGCGACGAATTACTGTAGTCGTTGCCCAAAAAGCAAGAACAAAGGCAACGGAAAACAAGATTCGTAGCACAAAGGTATAATTTCGGCAACAACATAACCTGACGCCCATGCCCTGCTTTGTGCAACTAAATGAAAGCAAGTTGCCCAAACATGAATGGGCGTCGACCCTATGGCGACGAGCCCACGACGAGTTGAAGTTCGTTGCCCAAACTAATGGGCGACGAATAACCAAGTTAGGGCGACGATAATTTTTGTTCCCCAAAATTGGTTTTTTTGTAAAAGGGAATATGTAATTGAAAATCACTTCTAATAAGATAATATGGACAACCGGTTTAGGTTCCTTTTTAATCTTGTTATTTAATTGAAGTGATCACAAATTTTTTAGAATTATATGTTGCATTAATATTTAACCAATTTAGCATAATAATAGTTTGGAGCAAATTGAATCTTTGTTTGCATGCCTTTGAGATCGCAGGTTTCACTTTTCACTATAAGAATCGAGTAGAGGCCAATACAGGCGAATGTGGCTCTATGACTCACTTCGTACCGTCATCCCCGATCCTCCTTTCGCAGTTGCGAACCATATGGAGTTAGTAATGTCATGGATTATGAATGGGGTGTAACCTTCACGGGTCAGTCGTTGCTGCCTATCGTTGTCCCTTAATCGTGGTTTCCTTTTTATGATCCGTGAAGGGTTTACAAGTTCCTTAAAAACTTGTTGGCGGCTCCCTACTTTCCTTATTCCTGATCGTATATGTCAATTCCCACTTCCTATGAGTGCCAAGCATATTCACAACATGATTTAACGTAGGCGCACTTCGAGCGATGCCTACAATTTGGCGACTCCACTTGGGAGGATTCTTGGTTATTTATCGATTTGAGTGATCGGTATTTAATTAAGATGAGTGGATGAGACTTGAAAGATTCTTGTAAAATATTCTTGTGATTAATTTTGCATTTTTTTATAAGCATAGACGTTTTAACGTCGCATTTAGGTTTGTCCCGTAGGAAAAATTGAATAACTTTATTGCGTACGAAGGAAAACAGGGCACAGGTTAGATTTTCTGACTGTCGTGCCACGGCAGAATTTGCCGTGTCACGGTGCAGTTCACCGTCTGAGGTGGGCAGCACTTTGTCAAGGTGCTATCTACTGTGTCACGGCAGTCCTAAAATCAGTCTGGTGGCTTGTTTTGTCATCTCACAATAAACGTCCTTCGACTTTTCTGAAAAAACGTATGTGTTCTACATGCGTCTTAGCCCCGGGGGATTTAAGCTCTATCAACCCAAAAACGCTTATGGCAATAAGGGTTCATCTGAGTTATTCAATCCACCCAAACCATGGAGTCGAGTTCAATTTCATCACGAACTCGTGGAGCCGCCCGTTGGCATACACCCTCAAGGGAAGCTGCCTTGCTAACACGTCCAAACTCTTAACCATAATACCCTTTTGACACCCAATGCTTGACCAATAGTTAAACATAGATCTTGACCTTAGGTTGCAAACTCTATTTACATCATCGTGACTAAATGCTACATAGTTTATTTGGTGCTAACCCTCATGTGTTTGTTTTTTTTAACCCATGACCGAGGGTTTTTATTTCCATATAGTAATTAGTACGGACTAAAAATTTATTAAATTCTGGAAATTACGCAAATTTAGGCCTAGAATTGCGCATCGTGTCACGACAAGTCTGTCGCGCCACGGTGTGCAATGTCGTGACACGGTGCTTTGCCCCGTCTGACGGTGCACCGTACTGTGTCACGATAGTTAGCACCAAGACACGGTGCCCAGAAGGTTTATCCAGTTAGTTTTTTTTGTTTGGTCTTTGTGCATGCATATGTGGTTCATATGTCTTGTTTAGTGTCCTGTTTAACTGTACGGTCATAACACATGTCCATAACCTTCACTTAATCACTCACATGTCGTGTTCACACAATTTTCCGTTAGTCATGCACCATTTCATGACCGTACTTTAGGGTAGTCTTATGTAGTCTTTTTTGTGCCCTTTTTTTTCGGAGTAAGTCGGATGGTATCTCCCATATAATTCTTTCTAAAAAAAAAGTAAATTTCAAAATAATTTTTTTTTAAAACCCGATGGGTTAGGGTTAAGTTTGGTCATTAAAGGTATGTTTGTTTCGGTGTCACAACACTTGGTCAAGAAGTAGGGTTAAATTGTTACGGTTCGAGTCAATACCTCAACAACCTCTTTATACCAAAGAGTCGTACAAGGAAACCACCACAATCATCTCCACAAGATCCATCTCCAGTCTAATTTCAACCAATGGCTACTAAGGAAGATCTGGAGAACATCAACAAGACCATTGAGATGTTGTCCAACAGGATGCAAACTCTCACCACTAGAGTCAACACGGTAGAGCAAGACAATCAAAACAATGTCACTGCCACTGCAATGGACAAAATCAAGGAACGGATGAGTAAGATCTTTGAAGAGTTCACTTATGTGGAGCAACCTGTCACCTCTTCGTCCATAAGGGACAAACTTCCTGAGAAGTTTTCCACTACTGACATTCCCAAGTTCAAGCCTACTGATAATCCGTTTTTCCACTTGAAGGCCTTTTTTGCGACCATGGCTCTTAAGGGATTAGATGTGAAAGTCTTCCCTACTATGTTCCCTGTTTACTTGGAGCATGCCTGTCAACAGTGGTTCTACTCTCTAGAATCCAAACATTTTGCGACCTAGGAGGACGTTACTGAAAGCTTTATGAATCGTGATAAGTGTAACATCCAAGCCAAGATTTCTAAACGTGAACTCTCCATTCTCAAACAGAAGGAGAATGAAGGCTTCACTACTTACCTAAGCAGGAGGAGAGAAACAACTGCGTTCTTGGTGGATCCTCCCAAGGAGAAAGAGATGGTTCGCCTGTTTATTGCAAATTTGGCTCATAAGTACAAGCAACACTTTAAGTTTCTTCCTTTGAGTACCTTCAAAGCCGTGTACGATATTGGAATCAATATCGAAGATGAACTGATGAAGACTGCTGATAGCAACAATAATAACAACAACACTTGGAAAAATAAGATGAACGACACTCCTTCTTCTTCGTCTTCCAAGCCCAATAATGCTACCAACAATGTCAATATAAATGATGTGCTGGCTCTTAATTCTCCCCCTCAAAGATTCCAAAGGAAAAGGAGGGTTTACACACATTTGGGAATGACTTATGATGCTACTTTTGATCGCTTGCATAGTCAAGGATTGATTATGCCAATTGCACCTTTTCCAGAACCTCGACGAGAGAACATAACTTCTAGCTATGACCCCAATGCTCATTGCAAGTTTCGTTAAGGCAAGGGTCATATTTTTGAGAAGTATTGGAGGTTGAAGGATGAGATCCAAGACATGATTGATGCTAATTAACTTTCTGTCCCTCCAAGGGGCAAGAAGCCTAATATTGAAATAGTTCCTCTTTCTGATGCTTTGTCTATCATGGGAGATGAAGTCTCCTTTGATCCGTCAATACTCATTCAACCTGTGAATGAACCTCTGCCGGAAGTTGTATTTGTCTCGAACTATGAAAAAGTAAATGGAATTTGGGATAGCGACGATGAAGACGTCTATCTCAAAGATATAGCTTGTTCGTCTCTTAACACAAGTGAAGATGTTTGGGGAGACCTTGAGGTCAAGGTTCTTACCAGAAGTGGACGGTTGCAACAGCCTAGTCCACCTTCACCGCAATCATAACCAATAGTTGATCCCATCGACCTTGTGAATAACGATGTGGTCAAACAATTACAAAAGACCAACCTGGAAATTTATGTAAGGAAGCTTTTGGCCATCTCTCACGAGCATCGAAAGGCTGTTATGAATGCTCTGGTGAAAATAGGAGTTGATGATGATATGACTCCTCAAGGACTGGTCAACTTTCTCACTACTAAATTGCCAAGTACTAACAATCTGATTTCCTTCTCTGACAAGGATCTGCCCCCGGAAGGGGACCAACATAACAAGGCCTTACATCTCACTATGGAATGTAGGTAGATGAATGTTCCTATGAGCCTGGTTGATAATTGCTCTGTAATCAATGTATGCCCGCTCCGCACTGTAAAGAAGTTGAGCATAAAAAATGAAGAATTGACTCCCTCTACTCAAGGGATACGTGCTTACGATAACACTTTCCG